AGGAAGCCGTTTATGAGGAGGGCGCCAGTGTTTTGTTTGTTGATGACAACTCATTGACATTATAACTTGATGAGACGGTAGGGCGATGATGATGAGGTGGATGATTTGCTGGTGTTGAGGTGCTGGGCCACCCCTCATCGCCCTTCACCTACCCTCCAACACCTCTCACTTGACCTCCAACACACCTCTCACTTGACCTCCAACACCTCTCACTTGACCTCCAACACAACCTCTCACTTGACCTCCAACACACCTCTCACTTGACCTTCAACACAACCTCTCACTTGACCTCCAACACAACCTCTCACTTGACCTCCAACACAACCTCTCACTTGACCTCCAACACCTCTCACTTGACCTCCAACACCTCTCACCTGACCTGCAACACAACCTTTCACTTGACCTCCAACACCTCACACTTGACCTCCAACACACCTCTCACTTGACCTCCAACACAACCTCTCACTTGACCTCCAACACAACCTCTCACTTGACCTCCAACACCTCTCACTTGACCTGCAACACAACCTCTCACTTGACCTCCAACACCTCATACTTGACCTCCAACACCTCTCACTTGACCTCCAACACAACCTCTCACTTGACCTCCAACACCTCTCACCTGACCTGCAACACAACCTTTCACTTGACCTCCAACACCTCACACTTGACCTCCAACACCTCTCACTTGACCTCCAACACCTCTCACTTGACCTCCAACACACCTCTCACTTGACCTCCAAAAAGAACCTACACTCGAGTATCACTTTTGCATTTAAAGAGAGGCAAGTTAATTATCTGGAAGAAAGATCTAAGCCATTACGACAATAACAACATTCAGGTGAAGAGCTCGTGCAGTGAAGACGTTCTCTGGGAACAGTGTTGGGTTTCTGACCCAAATTCTTAACTCAGACAATGTCTGAAACCCCTGAACAAATCCACAAGGGCCGTGACGAGGATTCGAACAAATCCTTGTGGATTTGTTCATTTGATGCATCACGTTAGTGTGATCTCTGTGTGTGTCTGAAACCCCTATTAGTGTGGGGTTATGTATATGTATATGTATATGTATATATGTATATGTATATATGTATAAAAGAGAGTATTTGTTCAAGATGGCAGGCCAGAGGCTTTGGGCTAGCTCAGCAAACTTCGTGTGATAACTGTTGTTTAAAATTCAGCTACTGGGAACAAAACGTTCCAAGTAGCACGGGCTATGGTGAGCCCGTAGATGTGATAACTTGACCCGGGAATGGCCATAGGTGGGATACCTTTTCTCCTTTCTGCATAAAGTGGCAAATTACACTTATTTTCCCGTATCGCTAAGTACCATACGTCATCCTCACTAAGATTCCTCGAACATATTATTTTAAACATGGTGATTATATGTTAGTTTCTCTTGTGTAGTTTATTTATTGACGAAGAACACGATGGTATCTAGTGACAATGGTTACTGGGATGAAGGGAAAGGCAGGTGGTGAAGGGTAAGGCAGGTGGTGAAGGGTAAGGCAGGTGGTGAAGGGTAAGGAAGATGGTGAAGGGTAAGGCAGGTGGTGAAGGGTAAGGCAGGTGGTGAAGGATAAGGCAGGTGGTGAAGGGTAAGGCAGGTGGTGAAGGGTAAGGCAGGTGGTGAAGGGTAAGGAAGATGGTGAAGGGTAAGGCAGATGGTGAAGGGTAAGGCAGGTGGTGAAGGGTAAGGCAGGTGGTGAAGGGTAAGGAAGATGGTGAAGGGTAAGGCAGGTGGTGAAGGGTAAGGCAGGTGGTGAAGGGTAAGGCAGATGGTGAAGGGTAAGGCAGGTGGTGAAGGGTAAGGCAGGTGGTGAAGGGTAAGGCAGGTGGTGAAGGGTAAGGCAGGTGGTGAAGGGTAAGGAAGATGGTGAAGGGTAAGGAAGATGGTGAAGGGTAAGGCAGGTGGTGAAGGGTAAGGCAGGTGGTGAAGGGTAAGGCAGGTGGTGAAGGGTAAGGCAGGTGGTGAAGGGTAAGGCAGGTGGTGAAGGGTAAGGCAGGTGGTGAAGGGTAAGGAAGATGGTGAAGGGTAAGGCAGGTGGTGAAGGGTAAGGCAGGTGGTGAAGGGTAAGGAAGATGGTGAAGGGTAAGGCAGGTGGTGAAGGGTAAGGAAAGGTGGTGAAGGGTAAGGCAGGTGGTGAAGGGTAAGGAAGATGGTGAAGGGTAAGGCAGGTGGTGAAGGGTAAGGAAAGGTGGTGAAGGGTAAGGCAGGTGGTGAAGGGTAAGGAAGATGGTGAAGGGTAAGGCAGGTGGTGAAGGGTAAGGAAGATGGTGAAGGGTAAGGCAGATGGTGAAGGGTAAGGAAGATGGTGAAGGGTAAGGAAGATGGTGAAGGGTAAGGCAGGTGGTGAAGGGTAAGGCAGATGGTGAAGGGTAAGGAAGATGGTGAAGGGTAAGGAAGATGGTGAAGGGTAAGGAAGATGGTGAAGGGTAAGGAAGATGGTGAAGGGTAAGGAAGATGGTGAAGGGTAAGGAAGATGGTGAAGGGTAAGGAAGATGGTGAAGGGTAAGGAAGATGGTGAAGGGTAAGGAAGATGGTGAAGGGTAAGGAAGATGGTGAAGGGTAAGGAAGATGGTGAAGGGTAAGGCAGATGGTGAAGGGTAAGGCAGATGGTGAAGGGTAAAGATAGTGAAGGGTAGAGCAGGTGATGATGGCAAGACGAAGAAGTGTGTAGATAGTGAACCCAGCGGTGCCCGGGTAGCGATGATGGTTACAGAGATGAAGACAGCATCACATGAATATGGTTACGCGATGAAGATGGCCATGCGTCGTGCAGACGATCACAGTGATCATGGTTATAAGTTATTATGATAGTTGCATTGAAGAAGTTGTTATACAATAAAGATGATTAGTGATGCTGGCTGTTTATAATGATGATGGACGCGTAGTTAAGATGGTCACAGTGATGAGGAATAGTGTGTAGTGAAGTTGGTTACGATAAGCAAAAACAGTGTAGTGAAGATATGGCTTCTTGTCACCCGAGTAATGCCGGGTATATTCCCCCCCCCTCCTCCCCCCCCCCTTATCTCGCTCAGCTCATCCTTCACAAAAAAAACGAAGAATGTAAACAAGTGTTCTTTGTTTAAGAAGAAAAACGAATCTTCTTAATCGTCCATAACACACGATCAAGAAGATCTTAAGGAAAAGTCAACAAATGGGTTTACGAAGGCACTTGTAACACCTGTTAGGTCCTTGTGTAATCTTTGTAAATTATAATTCTTATTACAATTATTATTATCATAGCTCTAACCTGCAGGTGGTAACGTTGGAAATGGCATTATCATCGCTGCAGAGAGGGTTATCATCATTTGGCAAGCACAATCTACTTACCCACTTCCTCTGGCCCCCCTTTTCTTATCTTTCTCTCCCTCTTTCCATCTCAAATATATACAATTTTGTGTTTATTTTATTGTCATACTGTATGACTTGCAATGTCACAGAAGCGATGTTGTTGCATCATGTTGCATCTAAAAACGGAAAGAAGACTTTGGAGATAATTTACATAACCCAATGGGAGCCGGTTGGCCGAGCGGACAGCACGCTGGACTTGTGATCCTGTGGTCCTGGGTTCGATCCCAGGCGCCGGCAAGAAACAATGGGCAGAGTTTCTTTCACCCTATGCCCCTATTACCTAACAGTAAAATAGGTACCTGGGTGTTAGTCAGCTGTCACGAGCTGCTTCCTGGGGGTGGAGGCCTGATCGAGGACCGGGCCGCGGGGACACTAAAGCCCCGAAATCATCTCAAAATAACCTCAAGATAGATCATTAATGGGCAGTGAGGCTAGCCTCACATTCTATGCCCGTTCTCTTATGTATTTTGCGTCTCTATGTCTCTTCACGCCTCTCATTTATATATATATTTTGTATTAACATAACAAACATAATTTAAAAAACAATGGTTTTACTGTCTTTTTTAAAAAGTAATGACTTTAAACTCATATATACAATCATAAAATTGAACACGATAATTTAACAATAAAATTTCCTATTTACGAGGCTAACTATCTTAATAGTTTGTACTTGTGGTAAAAACCCCGTGACATGAACACACACTCACACTCACACTCAACACGCAACATTACCATCACTTGACTCGTCACTAAGTCTTATAAGCGCGCCTCACCGCCAGGTAATTACATAACCCGGATGTGCAGCAATCAAATGAGCTAATTGGCTGTTGACAGACATAATCATCCTGTGGCTCTACCATAATAAGATTACATTAGACGGTATGTTAAAAAAAAACTTTGCAGCGTTTCTTTCTATAATTAGGTGGTGACTATACCTTTTGGTACTGCTGTTGTTGCTTAAGATTCAGCTACTGGAAACAAGTTTCAAGTAGCACGGGCTATGGTGAGCCCGTAGTGGACTTGCTCCTGGTGCTCCTGGCACAGGAGCGGGGCTGTAACTTGTTTTGGTACTTTTTAGATTTTTTGGTACTGTTGTTGTTTCAGATTTAGCTACTCAGAACGAAGTGTCCATGTAGCACCGGCTATGGTGACAATCCTGCCGCTGTCTACTACGTAGCCTCGTAGACAATCCTGCCTCTGTCTACTACGTAGCCTCGTAGACAATCCTGCCTCTGTCTACTACGTAGCCTCATAGACAATTGTCTATACCACTGTCAGCACTCTGAGCTCTGAACTATTATCTATTATATTGACCTATTTCAATTGAATTATTATTCTGCATTGTTATATTAGTTTTAGCTACAAATAATGTGTGATTTTTTTTGTCCCCTGTACTTCCCTGAAATAAATGACGTTGTTCAGGGCACAACGCATTAAAACAATACACAGGAAAAACTTGTAAAATTTACATATCAACTTTTATATCCAGAGGAAATACTCGATTTTTATTTTTTATATATTTATAATTAATATTGTTTTTTGTAATGCGAGAAAGGTAAATACAAATTTACTTTGAAGTACTTTAACAAATAGAAGGTTATTTTGTAAGGGCCAGAAGCGATAATAGAATATATTGAAAGTTTAGGGTTGCATGACCCGGATGCAAAGTTGACCTGTAGCGGGCGGTGGTGACTTGGGTCAGTCCAGCTACAACCACCAGCAGCTAACAACACAATGTCGTCTCGTGGTGGTCAGTGGTGATTGACGTATACTAGTCCTGTGTACCGTGTTTGTTATAAAAGTCTTGCAACATGACATGTAAACAGATAATTGTTGGAGGTTTCTGCATACTATTTTATTTCTATACATTGTCTACATCTTGAAATAAGAATTTGAAATACTTTTATGTTCTTACAGGTGGAAAGAAAGCTACAACAGCGCCCAGGAAACAAAGCGTGGACTCTGATGTCGTAAGTAGAAATATTTGGTTAAAGCTCGAGTCTTTAGTCTCTATCAAATGCAAAGTGTAGACTTTGTGACTATCAAAGTGGGGTGGTGGAGAGGGGGTGGACCCTACGTTGTGCAGTGTACCATTTGACGATCTTCTTAATAATCTTGCAAACTCAAACATTTCTTCTTTTAAATTTCAGGAAGCAAAATCATCGGGCGATAAACGGGTGGAAAAACGCCCAAGAGAACCAAAGGCGCCAGTTGCCACCAGGGGTGGTAAGGGTACGTACAACTTTACTAATGTTGCGTTTAAGACGCCCTAAACGTCACAATATATTTATACCAGAGCTAAATATTAACTACATTAAGTTTGTCATTTAAGCGGACATTGCTAGTCATTATACAGCTTAACTTTTTATAATTTTAATCTTTAACATAATGTTATTAGCTTCTTTGATTTGCTGCAAAATGTTGTAATGTTCATTTTTTTCTTTTCAGCTGCTGCTCCAAAGAAGAGTGAAAAAAAATAAGACGCCCGTCTTGCCCGTACTATAATATTTTAAAAGTTGTATTGTCTTTAGAAAATTTTACTGTAATAAAGTTATTGTTATACAGAGTATTTAAACCCGTCCTTGATTATTCTTAATCTGACACTTTAGTTAATGCATTACCTCTTTTTTTTAATGGTAAGAAAACATAAGTTTGTTATAGTAGAGACCATTTCAGTAAGAGTCGTATAAAAACTTCGGAAAATGGGCCTCCAAATAATTATAAACGCAAGCACCCATACAGTCTGCCATGCTTATAATGACCAAATCCTTTTACATAAACCACCCTCTTTCCCCCCCCCCCCCCTCACCTTTTCTCAAATACTTAACCTGACTCCTTCAAAGTGCTACGGTCATAATGGCTTGGCGCTTTCTTCTGATGGTTTCCCTCCCGGAGCAAGGCTTGGTAACCTGGAGCCAAATTCAGGAAGCAGTTATGCAAGCACTTGCGAAGCTGTCCATCTTTAATCAATCTTTGGCAGCTTTGTTTACCATTATTGAACGGGTAATGAGCCTCAGAAGCACCAGGAGGCTGTTTATAACAAGTTGATTGGCAAGTTATGCTTGCAAACTAGTTAATAAATGTAACCAAAGCAGTCAAAGATGTAAACGTTCGTAAGTACTTGCGTGACAGCTTCGTGAATCTGGCCCCAGGACAACGCAGTCCAGTGATGCAAGGGCGGTCAGAACCGCTAGTTGCCCTGGCGGCCAGGTGGCTTAGTCTCCTTCACCCGTCTCGGCCCCCGCCCCCCCCCCCCCCCCAAAAAAAAAAGTAAAATTTAAATTTTTTTTCACTTTTTAGTGGAATAACGCTTAAAATTTGGAAACTTGCAAAAATATGACACGGTATGTGTCTTAGAAAGGTGGGTATGAAAAATGCCATGAGCACTATGTACGGGATATGTTGTGTACCATGTACGCGTGGATATACTATGTTGGTGTTTAGTATGCAACTTGCCTAGCATAAAATATTGGCCTCATTTTAGTGGCGGGAAACAAATTAGTGACCCATAAACAAATCTTTACCTATGGGTAAATGAGGTTCTAAATTAAACCTATCCTCCTAATGGCACGTCCCATTGACGTACTATATACCCAAGGGGTTACCTTGAGGTGCTTCCGGGGCTTAGCGTCCGCGAGGCCCGGTCGTCGACCAGGCCTCCTCCAGGGGGGAGGGGGAGAATTAAAAGGCTTGATACTACCCCCGTTTCCTGTTTTGGGTCCTCTGGAAGGTTAGGGTAATGTTACTTTAGTTTGGAACTTTCTCTACTCTTGGAAACCTTGGCTGTTGAATTAAGCATAAACTGTGCTACTTGCACAAGGTGTTGGCACAGAATATTTAATAACAAAATCCCGAAACTTTACATACCTTCATGAAATGGTGTTTTAAGTCTCTCCATCGTGTAAGACTGGGCAGGAGGGATTTCTCGCCAGCTTCTGGAACTAGGTTCGTTCGGACAGTTTCCTTTCATCCGGACATGCTTGAGAAATAGTAGTCATTAATTTAGTCTTTTAGTTTAGTAGGTAGTTTTAAAGCTTTATTGGACAAGGTAAATTTTGAATGTCATAATTATGATGCTCTTGCTCTTATGTTTCTGGGTAAACTGGTGTAATGTAAAATTTTATGAAAAATGTATTGGTGTAAAATGGAAATTGGATTAAATTTTAGTAATTGAAGATGGCCTTAAAAGTTGTATTAAAGTTAAAATACAAGAAAATTGGTCAATACTATGTATATAAAGAGGGGGGGGTTAGGTGTCACTTGACTAAACTTAAAATTATTTAAAATAAAGGCTAGCGGACGACACTTTCCTTAAATTTTAATCTTAATTCCCGCTGTCAAAGACAGGAAGCGTGAACAAGGGCTTATCAAGGCATCACCCTGGTCTCTCTTCCCCCCCCCCCACCAGTGGGCCAAACATCCTTGCCTTGCCCAGGAAGCAACCCACAACAAATGCCAAACGTGTGCCCCAAAGAATGAGGTGATTTGATAAAATACTATGCCCAAGATTACCATCGGAGTGCCGCCGGGCTGATGGGCAAATAGCCTCGGCTACCATCAGCTTTTGTCCGGTCGTGATGCTCGAGTGGATTAGGTGCCCTGTACACCAGTTGCAAAGTGCTCCTGGCAGTATGGGTTCGAGTCACTTCTGGGGTGTGAGTTTTCACTGATATATATAATATATATATAGTATATATATAATATATATATAGTATATATATAATATATATATAGTATATATATTATATATATATATAAATAATATTAATAATAATTACAAAGGTAATATAAAAAAGTTAATATTTTTTTCGATCTATTTGTCCTGCGGCAAAAAAGAACACCCATCGTGCCGACAGTGACGGTTGGGGTCACAACACCCACCCGACAGATCTGAAAATAGAGGCAGTGACCATGTTATGGGCCGTTCTAAACCATTATCAAGTGTACACGACTTGATAATGGTATATCAAGTCGTTGATAATCGTTATCAAGTGTACACGACTTGATAATGGTCCACAACGGACCGAAACGTCGTCACTGCCTTTATTTTGAGATTTGTGGGGTGGGTGTCTTAATGTTCGGACACGTTATTATGACACGTTCTGCACTTTTTAATATGACAAAGCTATCCACATAAGTTTCATTGAATAAATCTTTCCATCTAGATGCATCGTCATATTCGTAGGACAGCATTACCACCCTTACGTCATTCTCAGGGTCTATTCCTACAAGTATAACTGGCGAGTCTATTTCCCACAAGTATAACTGGTGATCTAAATGGAATTATATAGCCCCTAGGTATCATACCAACCACAGAAGGTCGTCCGAGTTGCTGATCACTGGCTTGAGGTTGTGAGGGATGGCTAGGCTAGTCTATTTACTAGCCCGTAGACAATATTATGAGTTCTTTACCGCAGGTCAGTGGCTCAGTATGGCAGAGTAAATGGGTGACTTCCCTGAGATTTGAATCAGTCTTTTGCAGTGGTAGGTAGACCAATGCAAATCAGTGATGGTTTTATTACATGAAATTAGTTAATTAATCATTTTGTCCAGAATTGCATGCCTACCTGTGACTTCATTCTTTACACCTAGCAGAGCAGGCCTCGCGTTAGGGAAAGTGCAAATTATTCGTTATCTGACGTAAATAATACGCAATCTATGGACTCGTCTGATTTAAGATTTGGCTGTAAAATATGTGACATTCCTAGGGCCAGATTCACTTAACAGTTACGCCACCTGTACATCTTTTCTCAATCTCTGGCAGTTTTGTTTACATTTATTTAATAAATAAATAAATAAATATATCGAAACTTCCCAATCCCCGTCCTCGACTCAAGTCCATTACATCCAGCGGTCAACCCCACAGACGCATTCATAAATTTTAACATGCTGTTCATTCAAAACGGAAAGTTTTTCAAGTATAAATTAATATTATATATATATTAGCATATTGTGTATATATAGGCATAGGTTAGGTTAGGTTAGGTGTTTTGGTTCTGTTGGCGATTATTTGTATTTGTAGTACGTGGGTGAAGCATTTATAGCGTTGTGATTCGAACAAAATTCGTCAGTGAAGCACTTGTTCCGGATATGTTCGAACGTCAGCAGTTGTGAGTCGTGTGTAAACCGCTTTTCATTCATAAACAGGGGGTTTAGCGAGTGCATGGAATCACTTTTGGATCTTTGTTTGGAGGACGGGCTGTATAAACAGCCTCCTAGTGCTCCAGAGCTCATAAACTTTTAATAAATGTCAACAAAGCCACCAAAGATTCAGAAAAGATGTTGAGGTTCGTAAGTCCTTGCGTAACTGTTTCATGAATCATGGCCCCTGGATCGAGTTGCTTGTCGATGTGTTGATGCAGCCCGTCTTCCAAACAAAGACCCAAAAGTGATTCCAGCACCCGCCAAACCCCGTGTATGAATGGTTTACACACGACTCAACTGAATTCGTTCGAACACTTCTGGAACAAGTGCTTCACTGACGAATTTTCTTCGAACCACAACGCTGTAAATGCTTCACCCACGTACTACAAATACAAATAATCGCCAACAGAATCTAAACACCTAACCTAACTTATGCCTATATCTGCACAATATGCTAATATATTATAATATTAATTTATATATGAGAAAATTCCTGTTTTGAATGTAAAAATTTATGAATGCGTCTGTGGGGTCGACCGCTAGATGTAATGGACTTGAGTCGAGGACGGGTTGGTTGATGTATACAAAGTGAACACTTAATTTAGTTTTTAACATTGTTAGAAAAAGAAAAGCTTGTAATTGTTGTTTTAATATTTATAACATAAATAGTAAGAAGTTTTTACGGGCTTATAAATACTGCTGCAATAATAATAATGGATATTGAAATAAAAATATTTCCGTAACCCCTGACCCCCAAAGAATCAACCTCGTGTGACCTTTGGTGAGTTTGGTTAGTCTACTGCCAGCCATCGTTGTATAAATCACTCAAAATGTCTTCTCGGGGACGTAAGCTCTTGTTATAAGTTTGGTGTCTATGTTGAGTGTTAATCATTTAATTTTTGTCTAGTGAATTGCAAGTTTTTGATATCGTGGCTTAATCTTGCTGCCTCCAGGTTTTTTTTTTCTTCCTTTATCAGGGAAGGTGGAGGCGGGATCAATAAGTATTAGTAGACTTAATTTGAGGCACGTGACCCGTAGAGGTAGATCCCGAGAATTGAGTAATTTAAGGTAAACGTGACAAAGTAATGCTTAGGAGATTTGAAAAATTCCTGTCTGGACAATTAACCACTTGACTAACATCCTCTAGTTAACCAATGGTAAGAAAGCACCCGGTTGTTGATACTACTGTGGTCGCACCTGTGATGACGAGGAAAAGTTTTTCCTGTTGGGTTTTTTTTTTTTTTTTTTTTTTTTTTTTTTTAGGGACCTCTTGTATGAAGTGCGCGTGAATGGGCAACCATTTCATAATGAAACTTGGTTTCATAATATTTAGGTAATGGCGTAAAAGCAAAGCTTTTTAAGTCCATATTTATTTTCTAGTCTTGATCCTCTCGCAATTTAAATATTACAGGTGGAAAGTCTGCATCTACCCTGACCAGGAAAGATAGCGTCGTCTTAGAGGTAAGTAAAATCTTTCCTGCTGAATCTGCTTGTATTTGCTTATTGAAGCCTTCTTAAACTTGCACATCGTGAAGACATTTTGACCTTTGATCTTGAAACATGCCACTATGTTTATTTTATTAATACAATACAATTTTATTTAGGTAAGGTACATACATACAATATTTACAAGGATTGTTTGACTTATAGGTATAGCTAGTACATACAATGCCTAAAGCCACTATTACGCAAAGCGTTTCGGGCATATTACGAAAGGCGTTTCGGGCATAACGATAAAGTTCAGATTTAGGTTGGACTCTGTTTACAAAGTAGGTTTGGATATTAACTACCTTGTATATTGTCTTCATAGACATTCTAGTCTTTTATTTCAAACGGATAAAGAATCTATACTCTAAACACTAGAGCATAGGTGGGTCAAAACTAGGACTTCTTTTTTTTTTTTTTTTTTTTTTTTTAAATCTGTGTTTAAACCAAAGGGCCTACACGTATTTAGCTACCGAAAATGACTGATCTTAAAGATGTATTGTGTATATGGAAAGCCACATTCTTGAGGCAACTAGATTGCGCATGAATTTTACCTAGAGCGGTAACGCAAGGTACGCTTGAAAGCCTCTAGGCTTTTGACTTAAAAGCCTCTTGCTTTAGAGACTAAACGCTTCACTAAAATATAGTACCTCTTATCACAACCCTTTAAATACATAGTATATAGTTCTTCTACACCAAAAGTACTTCTTAAACTGAAGTGTTGACAAACACTTATAGCCCCAAGTGATATTAGACCCTAACTAATTTTTATTCCTCTAGTTTGTTACAGCTTTATATAAAAAAGCCAAATTTCATAATGGCACTTAATAATTTAGTACGCAGGTTTTTTTTTCCGTGTTAATATAGTTAATTTATCACAAACTGACTTTGCGAAGTTTGGTGCGTACATACTTTTATTACTAGGGTACAATTCTTCTTGCACGCTTGTTAAATCGGTACCAAAGTTAAATGTCTTTATTAAGGACTCCAAATGTGTACAAAATGCTAACTATGCAAGTTTAGCATTTAACTTCAGTCTAGTGTTCACCTTGGACTTACTCCTCTCCACCCACTTCCCCCCATGCACCGAGCATTGCACCATCTGCCATTGCAATGGTAGTATTTCATAATTTAAATATCTTTTTTTCGTATCTGATACCAAGAAGTTGGTAAAATATGGGTACTTTCCTCTTAATTTTTCTTCCTTCGTTACCTTTAAGGAAGAAAAGGCTTTCTTGGCAAAGAGACCCGGCAAGAAATCGGAAGGACCTCAGAAACCCACCGAAGACAAAGCAGGTCAGCACATTTTTGTGGCCCTGATATAGTATATAATAGAAATGCCGTACCATTCTTTACATTAGACGTGGGTCGCATAGCAATGACCACGAAATTTTGCTCATATACAGTATATAAAAGATTGTTAAACATGAATTTGCAGTTTTTTAATTTCTAAACTAAAAATTTATAGTATCGGCAGCATGTCTAGGTTGGCCATAACTAGACAAAGCTTAATAGTTGTCTTAAATCTTGTAGGTAAATGTTAACTAGCATCGCAGATCTTCATTCTAATCTAATTCATAATTAGTGTAGTATTCTTTTGTACTAGTTTGTCAATGTTAAACTGCCACGGAAAAGTACAAATTCCATTAAAAGGTCTAGACTTGCATAACTCTTAAGTTAGTTCAAATGGCTAGGAAAAAAAGTAGCAGTTGTATTGACGGCAAAGAGCTAGGCTATAAGATTTTTTTTTTTAGCCATGTTGTCTAAATTGTTCTTTTCTTTCCAGCATCTGGTGCCACAAAGCTACAGAAGTAACTGTTAGAATAAAAATTTGGTTTTTAGTTATATAAACTTAGTGATACCATTATGTATATTAATCTTCACACGGCCTGCCTGCAGGTAGTTAGCCTCCTATATTCTCTCTAGCCAGACAAAACGTATTGCAAAGAATTGACTTCTCCCGTTTTAAGTTTACCTGCAAGGGCAGACTACTTATCACAAAGCTTTGTATGAGTAATCCTGTGTGATGAGGATTTTTTATCACGTAGCTTGGTTTGACAAGCTGTATTCTACTTCATTCGGTACAGGGAAGTAACACAAATGCAGTTGTACCTAAATGTGTTAATAAAACAAAATCCTGTTTTAACTAGTGGCAGTTCAGTGCTTTAACCTTCCTGTAGTATCTAACTTTATAATCATTGTACTATCATCAGTGGTTCGCTATAGTTTCAAACGCGTAGATTTATTAGTTAGCAGATTCTTGTACAAGTTTTGTGGCTTGTGAATGTTTATGGACAAGGTGACGGCAAATACGTCACTTGAGCTATATGCAAGACCTTTGCCTCACTTGGTCCTGGTTATATAATTTCGTGCCATATTTTACCACAACATAAGAGGTCGGGTGAGACTTGCTTTGCTGTCGCCTAGCTTCCCGACGACTCGCTCTTCCCTCCACAACCAACACTTCACTATCTTGTATAACACTATAAACCTATCCTAAACACATTTATACCAAATTTGATGTAAAAAAAATTCTAGGGTGCATAATAAATGAACTTGGTTGACGTCCTAAGAGCGTTCCAAATAAACCCATGTGCACAAATTGCATAAATACACGGTCTCGAGTGTCTACAAATGATAATTTGCAACTTTACTTGCCTCTGCTACATCTTCCCAAATGTTCCCAACAAGTCGGTTTCCCAGTGACCAAGCCGAGCGCAGCCTGGAGATGCAGGGCCAAGTGGACAGGAATAAATGGGGCCTCAAAATAGCAGCAGCTAGCCGCCTCGCCTCGCGCCGCCATCTCTACCATTACCACCATTCAACAATATCCCACTACGGCTCGACCCGTTGCAATGTCCGCCTTGCCAATCGATAACCTACTTACTTATATTTATTTATAACGTGTTTAGCGTAATCAAATACTAACGTTACCCATATAGACGTATTCGCTACATTAGTTATCCCAGTGATGCTAAACTCGAAGGCTCCATATGTACGTAATACCTGACAATATACTTGGTGGCCAAACTGCTCACGACTTTCATAGTAGGTGTTCCTCGCTCCACCGGAGGGGGGGGGTGAAGATGGGGCGCAGTGCCACGTGGATTCTGGTCCACAGAGGGAGGGGGGATGGGGCGCAGTGCCACGTGGGTTCTGGTCCACGGAGTTGGGGGGGATGGGGTGCAGTGCCACGTGGGTTCTGGTCCACGGAGGGGGAGATGGGGCGCAGTGCCACGTGGGTGCTGGCCCACGGAGGGGGGGGGGATGGGGCGCAGTGCCACGTGGGTGCTGGTCCACGGGGGGAAAAAGGGGGGGTGTGGTAGGTGTGTGTCCGCGAAGCACAGTACCTGTTGTGTGTGCTACATATCCACACTTTGCAACACGTTCAACAGTAACAATCTAAAACAATAATAATTGCAATACGCTTGAAAATACATTTGAGAAAGCACAGATAGTCTCTCAATATAACCCACATTATAACATACAAAATTTATTATTTTTGCTTTAGGGACAATGTTCGGTTTCAGTAGTAACCATGTTATATTTTCTTAATTTAGTATCGAAACTTGATTCAATACGATGTTAGATATATTCAGCAAACTTTTTCTTAAGGACAAAGTAAATAACATGGTAAAATCATATTGTTGCCTATAAGGTAATTCCGGTAGGAATGAGTTTGAAAATAAAATTCTGTAAATGGTTTCCAAATGGGCTGTTTCCTGAAATAATGACCCAGGCAGGACGGCGTGAATTTCAAGCAAGCAGGCAAGTTTTTTTTTTTTCCCACAGGTGGGCACAGAAGCAGATGACGTTTCACTCCTGTTAGCATGCTGAGAGCTTTTCATTCCCGTAAATCATAATCCTTGCCCATTACTTTCCCCTGGAACATTACCCACTAATTGATTAAGCACCAGGTACCCAGTTACTGCTGGGTAAAAAGGGGGGGGGGAAAGTTATGGCATGGGGGTCCAGATAATCGTCCCAAGCAAAAGTGTGGGATGAATGTGTTACCACTGCTTTTGGTGGGGTGGTATATGTATAATTGTGTTATTGGCAATATTGAGTGTATGATTATAGTGAGAGGGGGATAATTATAATAATGTTTGTACTGATGGTGATAATAGCAGTGGTGGTACTGATGGGATCATACTTGTAATATTAATGGTGGTGGTGGTAATGGCAATAGCAGTGGCGCAGTGATGTGAATAATGGGTGTAATGGTATGATGAAGATAGGAAGTGTGTATGGTGCTGAAAGGGTAAATAAAAAGATTATGATGGTGGTGGTGGTTGGAATTAAAGTAATGGTAGTTAGGTTCCTTTACATAATCCCATAAACTATGATTACTCTATCAGCAAAATCAATACCACAGTAATAACTCTGAAATTACTGCAATTCTTCTCATGGGTCATGTTATCACGGGTAATAAAATCAATCCAGGGTAGTATATTTACCTTTGATCTGTTTGAGAATGGCCAGAATCTGCATCAAGTAGAGGTTAACCTCATTTTACACACTAAATCTCTGAAATCTTGAACACGTTCCATAATGGCTATTATTGCACTGTATAGGTTTCTTCACATTCCAACTCATGTTAGTGCAGAATTCTGGAGGTATCCTTATGGTGTAACTAATTGGAGATGGAAATGGATTAACCTGTTAAGGAATGTTCATAATAGGCTTTACAAATAGGTTTGTGAGAGCTAGAGAATTAGCAGCAACAAATTTACAAATGGTACAAGTGCACTTGGCCAGATTACATGACATTATACAGTAGCAAGTTTATGAGGACACTCGTACACTTGGGTATGTAAAGAGAACAGTGACACAAGTTAGTTATTTTTTAGGTGGAAAGACTAAGATTGTGACTGGAATCAGATGTGTGATGTTGGAGGCCTAGCAGTGAAGGCAATACAGCAGCAGCTGGTGTCTGTAAAGAAGCTTTGCTAAGAAACCATTTCCCCAGAGTACAAGCAGTCCTAAGTAGAGATGAGAAAAGTTTTCCTAGTGGCAGCCTGAGGCCGGGTGAATTATTATCCAGCCTGTCTGTAATTACTTCAGACCTTTACAAGACATTCTGGTTAGGTGACTAGTGCCTTGCAAGTAAAGTACTATGCCAATTTACCAATGATAATTATAATTGTTTCAAAATTATTAAAATAACAAAATTGTAAAATAACTTTTACAGAGTACCTATTTTATTTTGTGGGCATTTGGTTTGTGACCAGTTGATACATGATATCAATCCCTGGTCCAAATTAAGGCTTTCCTTCTATATATAATGTACTCAAATTGGACAACTACAGCATTTCTTGCATGGCTGTTTCTCTCATATGTCAAACTTGGACCAATTAACAATGTACTTTGTTATCAATACTTTTTATTCTTTATCATGTAACAGCTGTAATTACCACTACAACTATTACACATACTGATTTTAGATATTCTTGTAAAGGGGACTCCAAATTTGTATTTATATTTTCGGCTTTGTTTCCAGGCAGCCTCTTCAGAATACCTCGTGTCAGGTCACAAACTGTATGCTTTTAATGGAAATTGTGGAAGTCATTATTTTTTATCAAGGAAACCATAATCCCTTGGCAGTATAGTGACATCTCCTAATACCTGATAGATATCATTTGTTGAGGAATCTTCAGTTTCTTTATGGTGTAGTGATATTTCCTACTACTGAATGTACTGGATAATCTCAATTGTCAAAAAGTCTATCTTGTGGCAGAATAGTTATGTACCCCTGTACTGTACTTACTGGATAACTTCAGTTGTTGTTGGAGTGTCTTGGCATTGGCATTATGGTATTCCCTAGCACCTTTTGGATAATATGACATTCCCCAGTACCTGGCAGATATGACATTTCCTCGAACCCATTGTTGATGTGACGACTTATGCTGAATTTTGTAACTAGCTCAGCTAAATTGTGGGGTTCAGTCCCCGAGCCCATTATGTGCCACTGTAACCCTTTCCACTACCGCCCACAAGATGGGTATGGGGTGCATAATAAATGAACTAAACTAAAACTCCTGCTAAAACAAAATTTTTGACATTCCAGCATTGTACCTGCTGGATAGTGTCATAATGATCTCCATTAACTGGCAGGATAATGTTGTGATGTTTCCCAATACCTAGGAGATGATCTTGGGACATTCTTCTGTCCCATCATTGCTGGATAATGTCATGACATTTTCAAGAACATGGCTAATATAATATAAAGACATTTCCTGGTGCCTATTTCGAACTGTTTGTTGCTATCCAATCCTTGCTGAATACTGCTAAAATGGTATCCAATACCTGGCATTGTGACTTTTCCTAGTACCTGCTGGGTAATGTCCTGATGATTCCCTGTACATGTGTGGCAATGCTCTCATGTTCTCCAATATCTGGCTTGATATTATTGTAAGCATACCAATACCTGCCTGGATGATGATGTGACATTTCTCAGTACCTACTAGAAATGGCATGCCACAGTAGTGTGCCTGAAAACTGAAAATAACTAAGTTATTACTGATGAAATATTCTGACACCCTGAACAAATACTTCAGTGTTTGTTCAATACATCAGTGTTCACACTGGAAAACCCTTGATGACATACCAACGCCTAACCAGGATGCTTAGTGCAGAAGAGGATGACAAGTTAAAAGAAGATAGCCATATCACACATATCACGCTAAGAAACACAAAAATTACCATTCAAGTATTATTAAAAATACCATTTATACCATTAAGAACATCACAATATACAAAATTTGAAAAAGAAATCCTGTCTAACAAATTTTTTCTGGAGAGTAACTAACTATATAAGCCAAGGATCCACAGTCAGTGAGACATACATAAAATTCCAAAATGCATTTACTTTCTCGTCATGGACCGGAAACCTGTTAGGCTTATCAAAGTTCTCCTAAGCTAACTACTGGCCTTCCCAGGATGTAATCCCCAATAATTGCATAACTCCTAGGTACCTATCTACATGCTAGAATGGAGTCGTCAAATGAATTTAAATCGAACTCAAATATTTTGGTTCTCTCATGGGAATCAAACCCTGCACCTTACAATTGTGACTTGAATATGATGGTACACAAATGATTAGTCAAAAACTGCAAACATATGGAAACATAGGCAAAATATTGCAAATAATTTGAAAAAAGAACCACCTTGATGTGAAAATCAACAAAGCATTGAAACCTGGCCAGCAAGTAGCTGCCTTTAAAAAACCCAATTAAACACTACATATAATCAAACAAGCCTTTGACTTCTAGGATAAAAAGTGGTCATTCATCTGCACAAATCTCATATATGCCCCTACCTGGAATACACAACACGGGTCAATATCATTCAGTGAAAAAAAAGTTCGGCACAGAGCAATGAAACCCACCCCAGAATAAAGTCAGCATACTGATAACTCTGTAAACAAGACCTGGCAGGGCATGGTCTCAGAGACTTAAAACACTGAACAAGACTGCAGTGAGACGTGGAAGTTGGGTAACACAAGGTATTGTAGGAGCATTTAAAAAATCAACTGACTAAAAATTTGTGAACTATTAGTAAGGAAAAGCAGGGCATAAGGGTATGAACTAGAGAAGGTAGGGGGGCCGAGGGTTAACTCATGGTGTACATGCTGATTAAGCATAATCCATGGAAGGATGGAAATCTTGCAGTTTTGACCTTTCTCTTTGCTTCTCGATAATAAACAGTAGTCTGTATAGCTTAAATGTGTTCACAAGGTTTGAGGCAGGCCTGATTTTGCCTCACTCCTCTCTTTAAGTCAGAGGAGCTTCATAAGCCAACCTCAACTGTTCATCAGGTGTACCCATAATCATTCAACAAATGGATCATCTACTGAAATGTTCAAATATTTGTACCCATTAAGGGTATCTGTGAGCTAAACAAAGATACACATTATAATAATTTCCTATTTATTTTTAGAATTTAGAATAATTGCTTAGACAGATAGTCACACCAGTCCAATTACTGTATATATATATATACTATATAATATAATTAATGGGTTAAGAAATACTCAACTTTACAATAATAAAATGTTTGAGTATTGATATGTGGTGGTAGATGACTATAAACATCAGCATATACAGTGGTAGGGAGCATCAGTAGTTTATCAAAACTTTCTTGTTTGTTAGGTAATGAATTACACACATGGCTTACATCAACGTAAGTTGTACATCAAATAATTTATCTAATAATTTTGAATATTTAAATACAATTTCAATTAAATTATAATACAACATTAAATACAGAATACTCAACTTATACAGTAACAAAAAAATATATTTGAATAACTATACAGTATAACAAGTCTTGTAAGTAACATGAGTGTAAATGTCAAGTTTTATTGGCATCACTTGCCACCCAAAGTTGTATTTTGTTCATGGACATGGATGTATTAAAACGTTTATTCCAAACGTACAGAATCAGATCACACCCTCCGTAAACAGTGTAGCCTCATTATAACGCCCTACAACTTACTGAAATATCATACATACTGTAGTGGCAGTGTATTTTTATGGCTCCAAAATAAAATTTAACATTTAGATTTGTAGATAGGCCTGCAATGGGTGTTGTTTCTACATGGGTAACCAGAGCATCAGAGCATAATAGCTAAGCCTGACATGGGTATTGTTGCTGCATGGGTTACCAGAGCATCAGAGCAAATATGTAATAGCATTTAAGGGCAGTAATTATAGTGATTATTTTGTATTTGCTGGCAAGTTTTCTAGTGTTTAAAACCATAAGAGTTAATAAGAAAACTATATGCACTAATTATATGATCTAATTATCCGTGATTATGTACATAACATGTGAAAGGCACTCTGATGATTCTAAAAAAATTATGTACTGTTGTGACATTTATAGTGACAACTTACATTATATGGTTTTGCACTGTTAAATGGAGTACATTTCCAATATTACAAATTATGTAATCACATAAAAGAATAACTAAACTAACTTTGCTTCTAAAAAAAATTGTAAGGGATTAAACCCCTTTTAACTCGCATTCATTGCACACTAACACTCAAGCAGACATGACGGGAGTTTTACTTTGTGTGCGAGTTCTCTTCCTGTATTAGGCTTTCATGGGGTATAAACAGATGCCTTGTAGGAATGTCTCATTTCACTCACAGAGGCCATGCAATGCCTAAAGCAATATTCAAAGAGGCCTTGCAGCTTATATCTCCTTTCACTCTAAAGCAATGTTTATGCTGCACTATAAATTGAGTGGAAAATCTATCGTCAGATTGAAAGGCATTTATAGATTATCATTCACAACCACTGTCTGAAAATTTAGAAAGCAGTTCTATATAAATAAAGGCATCACACAACAGTTCAGTGCAACATTTGCTTGGATTAGATTTCTAAAATTGTATTTAAATTTTTCAGAAGTATATGCTCGTTATACAGGACATTTAGATACAGCAAGACAAAAAGATGAGCAATAATAATAATAATAATATTTTAATTGTTCAGTACAGTATAGGAGAAGAGCTAATTTTGTTTCACATGCAAGGAATGGCTGTTGGTACCAGTTATAATCTCAGCTGTGATATAACATATATGAAGATTCTTTCTTTAATACCACAAGAGTACAATAACGAAGTGTATCTTCTTAGCTTCCATCACCTGCGTTATGGCAAGGCTACACTGTATTAGGTTATGAACTCCCTTTTTATGCACTCACAGCAATTCACAGGGTGAACGATGCATTACATATGCACTTTACCCTACATTAGGCTGTTATCCATCAAGTCACATGTGACTTCAGGATTAGACGAATAAAATATTATTTATTTAATTCGTATAAAAAATAATACAATGCAAAGCTCACAATGTATTATTTCTACACCATAGCTGATGCTGGCAGTGAGGAATGCTTTGGTTTCTCCTTCTTTAAGAAAACTTTAATGCACCCGTTAAAATCTGCAGACACAAGTGCATATCTGAAAAAGAAAGAATCTTAATAATAATTTGTATGTGTCCTTTAAAAGCATGTTATAAAATGAACACATAGGCTTACATCCCATGACAGTCTTCACTTTGGTGTAGAAGAAAAACTCATAAAAATTTTAGTTTTATTTCAGAGTTAAATGATGAACTTCATACTTGTTACTCTGAAGAAAAGAATAAAGTCTGTGAAGAATCTTAATAGATCTGTTTGTGATTTGGTAGGTCAACCAACTTTCCAACTAAGTGGAACACAAAATAGAACCTGAAACAATGTATGCAAACTGGATAAGATACAGGAAAGACTTTGGTAAAAACTAGTTAGGGAATAAGGTTGTTGATTTCTGATACATGTTGCTAGGAACATAACAGACGCATGATCACTAAATTGCTTCAGGAGTAGGTTAGGCAAATATAAGACGATGTGGTTACAGAATGAGAGCTACAGTATACTCATAGAGTTTTGTTTCCCCAAAACCTTTGTCATTTCATATTTTGAAGCTTCCGATGGCTTTAGCATTCACTACCCTCTCATTTAAATTATTCCTTCCATCTACAACTCTATTTTATCTACTCTTGTATTTCTCTCTCTGCTTCCTGTAATCCTTTTGTTACAGTAATTTTTCAAGGCATTCGTGCTTGTCAGCAAAGCTCACATGCATGTTCTTTACAGTAAGCAATACATAAAATATTAGGATTTTATCAGTAACTTTTGGAATCAACTTCAAGCTGTAGACTTACCCTTTATTAGTTGTACCACTATCTTTGTTTTGGCTTGGCTTTTGTTGTTGTTCTTGTTGTTGTTGCTGTTGTTGGTGTTCACCAGATCTGTTGAGAATCTCTTGCTGCTGCTCAATAAAGCTAAAGACCAGCTCAGGGTGAGGAGCGAACACTGCACACGTGACAACAGCACTGTGAGCTGGGATAGAGAATGGTAGGCTAAAACCAGTGTTGAATGTAATGAAATGTCATTTTCTGGGTGAGTGCCGACAGGGGCTCCCCATAGAAAAATTATCAAAGTAAAATTAATTCACTTAACAATATCAATCTACTGAATATCTAATGCATATAAGGAAACACTAAAACCAAGACAATTACCAGGTTCTGGCTCGTCATCCCCAGTAGGCAAGAACTCCAATCGAATTGACTGATGCCATGGTCTAATACATACATATCAGCCCGGTAAGCTCGGGAAGCCGGAGGGGCTCTCCTTATAAAAGTATACATATTTTCAAAACTACATTTCTACTCAAGCTTACTAAATATGATATTTATGACAAAGGAATAAACTAAATACTGTACATATAGTCCATACTGTACATACCTTTCACTCCTTCCCAATATAAATTTCTGTCTCTTCTTGCTGAGGAGAACTTTGAGTAATCATGATGGGTTTTCCAAATATATATACACTGATTCTCACTCCCTGCAACGATGTATTTTCCATCATGGCTGAAGAATTAAAAATAAATTTTCAGCACAAATGAAAGAATAATCACTCTGAATCCAGTACCCTAAATTCCACAATACAGCATTCCTAGCTTACTAACCCCATTCAGTCTATCTTGATACCTCTTTTGACCACATACTATAGTACTATTATTTTACCTGGTTCTTGATATTGATCTTCCTTCCCTTCCATCTTACCCAATATTTACTGTACTCTTTTACTTAATCATCCACTCTCTCTACGCATCCAAATCATCAAAGTACTTCAAGAAAATACTGAGGCTGTATGATGAGATCGGACCTACATCCATGGACTTCCAAGGCACATATTCTACAAACTGAATGATGATGTGTTCAAAGCACTCTTATCTCAATCAGAAGTACTACCTGACTTACTTGCAGTTTGAAAGGCACTGCCCAAAACTAAGTACAATAGGCTAGGCATAAAAGTAAATTAAAAGGATATTGTCATTTCATTAGACGGGGAAATATTAGAGCATGAATAGGGGGAAAGTACAAACAAGAGAATGAGAAAGATGAAAATTTCAAATAGCTTTGGAAAGAAAGCATTCAACTACGTTATACACTTATCAATGTCACACCAATCTTCATATTGCAGTAAGTCTTATGATTTATTCCTTGCTAAAGCTAACAGTATTGGATAACAACTAATTGGACAATTAAAAATGCTATACAGGGGGAACTATCAGGAGAAAGCACCAAGCCATTACAACTATATGGCACTTGGAAGGAAATGCTATACAGTATATGATAGATGTTCAGTATTGCTGTATTATAGAAAGTTTTTCTTTACATACCTGAAACCTGCCCTTATTTGACTAGACATGTTTGAGTAGCCCTTATACTTGCAAGAAAGGTTCAAATCTCTCAGATCATATAGACGTATTCTGCTGTCGTTACTTGTAATTAAAACCTGAAAAATTGATCATATACTTAAAATGGCAATTAAAATCATGCAATAATGATAAAGTATTATTAATGTTTACATAATTAAGAGTTCAATCAGAATAACTTGTAAGCAGCAGCTTGTATCTACCTTGTCTTCGCCAGGGAGGGGTTCAATGCCAGTAATTTTTCGACCTTTAGCATTTTTTCCTCTTGTGGACCTCACATAGATTTGTGTGTAGTATTTCAGCTGCTCAGTTTCATAGAAGATACATCTGCCATCATATGTTCCAACTACTGTAAATTTTCCATTCTGAAATAAGACAAATTTAAAGTACTGTACTATACATAATAAATAAGGCTTTAAGTGCAGTTGAAGAGGTTCCTTACCGAGTGTGATTTGATTGCTTCCATAGGTTCCTCTGGACAAGACTAAATACTGTCTGAGCTTAAAAATACCTGCAGTGTGTAGGGGCAAACATTCCCACTGGGTCATACTGGGTCAAGAAATAAGAGACACACTGGTGAAGACTTTTCTGGCCAGGAACGCTTTTCAGAATGTTCAGTCAACTACACTCAAAACCCCTCCAAGTGATATTCAGCCTCAAAGAGACAGACAAGTGTCACTTTGATAATTGCTAATTAGCCCATTTGGCTGCTAATCCCAAATCATCACTAGACTGGCAAGGAGCTGCCCATCTCTCAATAATTTCCTGACAAACTACTATTCCTGGGGAAATACCTTGTTATTTAGTTATAGTAAATGACTTCTGTTAATCTTTGTAAACTGTTGTTTCACAAGCAATGGGCTGATACTATTAAGATGATGCGTCTGGGTGCATGAATACACAGTCATTTGCATATAATTTTATTTTTAACTGATGGCATTGTAGTTATCTTCTCTAGGCTGGTCTGGTTCATGCCTTATCTGTGGTCATTCTATCTTTGAGATTGCTTCTTGGTTTTACAGTTTCTTGAACTTTGTACTGGGCTGAGATACTAGTGGTGGGTGTGCACGCCTGGGTGCATTCGATAGTCTCTTTCACCAGTATTGTATGGCTATTTTGTATTTTGCTTAAAACTGCTCTCTCACCCATGCTTGTCTGATTTTTTTTGAGTTAGAGCATGCTGTTATTTATTTATTTTGTCATTATTAAGTGTTGCTGAGAGCTTACACAGCAGTGGTGAGAGATGCTGCAGCATATACTACTAGCGGTTGCCTTCTCAATGATGAGGATCTCACACCCAGGAAGGCTGCCCACGATTTTTTCCAAGATGGCATTTGTTTATGTAGACGTGAGGAAGTGAATGTGAGCCTCATGTACCCGCAAGAGTTTTAATTCTAGGGCTTGACCTAAAAGCGGGCCCTGGTTGCTGTGTACACCACCGATGAAACTACCCTGGTTGCTTTGCCCAGTTGCACGGTTAAAGCAGATTCAATAATATTTCTATTCAAAATGCTCCTACAATTAGTAAAAGAAGATGAATCTTTAATCATTTGTCTGAAAAAAAAAAAATCGACAAATGATTAAACAAAGCATTAGATATCTGGCCAGTTCTAACAGACTATTTATGTTGAAAAATAGTATATACTGTACTTTGTTTTTTTAATTTATCTACTGCTTTGTTTATTCATGCTAGAAACCACTTCAGTATAAAATATATACAGTATATATATCCATCTTGTACACATGTTATAACTTACAAAATAAGGTATATTAAATATATAATTTTTTGTTTTTATTTAAAAAGTGAGTGTAAATGCTTGAATGAAGTATAAATGGCATTTTGGTGTTATCACACTGGGAGGTATTTGCTACTGCCATCAACAAATGGTAGTATTTCCTGGGTTCCCTGGGAACTTTTTTGAAGGTCAGAGAACTTGGGTGAATATTATATGTCTTTGAAATGTTCACTTACCTGGCAGAAATTAGCTGCAGTAATAAGATTCGGCTGTCCTCCAACTTCATTCCACAACACTACCCTCTTGTCGGGAATGCTCCATAATCGTAGTTTTCCATCCAGTGCCCCAGAGATGAAATATCGATCATCCTGTTCAGAATAATATCTACAAATAATAAATATGAACAAATACTGATGATCAGCACTTGTGATACTGTATAGCAAGCGGCCAACATTTGATTGAACTATCATTAACCCCTGCACTGCACACCTTTCATAATGACATTCTTGTGGTGCGCCAAAAATAAATTGTTCCAAAAACAGTATTTGTTCTTTTGGTATTGTTAATTAGCACCCAGGAAGCACAATAATCCAAGTACAAAGTCTCTATCTCTTGTAGTTTAGCCACAGTTGCCTGGAGAAGCTGCATTTTTGGGGTAAAAATTAGGAGTTGCCGCATGGGAATAACTTTAGTGATTTATTTTTAATGTTTCCCGCTATATTTATTTAGTTTTTTTTTTTCTCTAATAAGTTGTATCTGTGTTTCAAAGATGGTGTTCGGCATCAAAATTACTAAATGGTACCGAAATGATAACATGGTCCAAATGAAGAAATATCAACTAGAGCAAACACTATTTATCTAAAACTTTCATAGGCAACTAAACTAAATAATATATTACCAACATTAGAGTAAAGATTTATTAGTTAAATTACGTAATGGCAAGATAAATTCTAACCTAATGAATTAAAAAGAAAATAGTTCACTTACTTTTGGGTGAAAAGCAATAGCTGTGACGAAGTCCATGTGCTGGAATATACAGAGGCATTCCTTTCGACTGATGTGCCACAATCGTACTGTCTTGTCCATAGATGAAGTTAATAAAAAATAATTCTGAAATAAAATAAAAAAAAAAAAAAAAATCAGCATTGAATGTAATGAAACACACATGCTGGATTCTGCCTAGGTAGCCCCCCAAGACACAATAGGCAGTGAATTATTTCACTTACCACCTGGGATAAGGACTTTTTCAATTTCTGTCTTATCCAATCAAAGTGGTGAGAGGCTCATGATGATCAGCAAGAACTCATGTCATTTTATTAACAATCTCTCAAAAGAAATACATATACCATGCAGAAAATGTAGTAGGTACTGTATACTATAGAGATTTATTGAAAAATATTAAATTATCTTATACAGTACTGTACACACTATATACCAGTAAACCAAATTGTCAATCAATGCTTATCGAAACATAGGACTACAGTATTTCATGGGCAAAAGATTATCCATATGAACATGACCAATATAAGTTTCATTAACCATAACCAAAAATATTTTACAGTTATCAATAAATTAAATAAACTTGGTACAATAGTTTGTAATAAAAAAATACTACAACATAGAATTCTAAGACTTAATATGGTGATTCATCAATCAATTATTGCTTTATAATTTAGTACGGTAGGGTCTTTGGTATTTGACTTTAACATAGAAAACACTTGGGGATGACGAGGGGTTGAGAAGAATCGGTTTCAGAATGTTAAGAAAAAGTACGGAAAGAGAACGGGCCAGAGCTTCACGCAGCCACAGGGTAGGTTTTATTTTGTGTAATATTAATACCTACCTTAGACCAAGATATATCAAGCATATCTGCTGAATGACCAGTGTAAACACAAAATGGCTTGGGCATAAAGGGTGCACTACCATCATCATTTGGATCAAGGGAACCTGGGTCTTCTCCTGATTGTCCCGAGTGCTGGGACACCAGTGACTCTTGAGACGGTGTTGGAGATACCTGAAGAAAAGAAAACAAAGTATTTGGAGTCAATAAAAATAAAAATAAAAATTTTGTTAAAAATTTTATGAATAAAAATTTACTTATTGCAACACCTTTCATGCCTAAGACCAAGAATCAAAATACAAAGGTATGAACAGAGAAGAAAATAAAACAATGATATATATAGGTTTACAAAACAAATTACTTCAGTAATTTACATAGTACACTTGCAAGAATAAAATCAAAATAAGACTTTTCAATAAATTACATAACTTGGGCAGAGTTAGATAAGATCACATCCATAGTAGTCAAGCAGCAAGCAAAATAGTTCACTTAGTGGTGAGATATTGTAGTGTGGAAAGAGTAAACGATGTGTGTGTGAAGATAATCATCACATGACGGGCAAGCCCTTATACAGGATAAATGCATACATAGCAAGTTGTTGTGGTAGTGTATTTTTAACATACAATGAGAAATAAGGAGATGGAATACAAAAATAAAGAGAGCTGACAAACTTGTCAGTAGTGGTGGTGGTCCTGTTCAGAAAACATAGTGGTATTATAATCACGTTTAGATCAAAATAAGCATCTTGCACAGAAGTATCTTTTAATGTCTTACCTTAATGTCGGCATTACATTTAGTGCGTATATCAAGGAAGTAGTTGAAGGCCTGTTTGAGGACCCAGACCCTCAGCACATGGTCCTGCCCGGCTGTCGCCAATAAGCGACCACAGCCACTAAATTTCATGCACCAGATTGGTCCAGTGTGCTCCCCTGGAATACAACATAAAATATTATGAAATTCCGAGGTAGGTAAACAAGTTGTGAATGAAAGTAAAACTTTCTGTACTGTGGAATAGAGTTTACTTGCTTACTTTATGTATCATTTATTATTTTAATCATTAACCTTACTGTTTCCCACTTTCATGTGGGGGAGAGAAGGTTAAGGTATCAGAATGGGAAAAATGGCAGTAATATGGTGAAAGACGGTCATACATCTTAAAAAGAAAGATACCACTTTTCCATTCCATTATATCCTTCACTTTACTTGGCACTGCAGATTAACAAGCACCTCCACACTCAAACAGTTATTCATGGCTTAGCTCTTCATGCCTATAATTAAAAATAAAACTGATATATTCCTGTAAATGCTTATGGCTGTGGTTCCCAACCAGTGGGGCATGCCTCTTTTGTGGGTTTTTCAGTATATTTATTGAAAATTTTATAGCTTACTTTTTCCAGACTGCATAAATTCATGAGGATACTTAATAATAGAACTATCAACAATATTCACAAAAGCAAGGGTACTGGCACTCTTTTTATGTATATCATTCCATACCTGCAATTTCCTGGACGTACATGAGATTATCAAATTCAAGTGGACCTTTGTGGCTGTGGGCAGTTTTAATCTGTGAATAAATTAAAAGCCATTACTTAAAATTGCAATAGTAAGTTAAGGAATACACAATTACTTTGCTTTATGTACATTACTTCAAGTAACAGTAACACAGGTAACTCCTAATCCAACATGGGTATTTATTATAACCACATACCCCCCATGTGGGTGGTACACCACCTACAATTTTGTCAAAGCTCTTAATGTCAAAATGTAACTCATCAACTGACACTTAGCCAGACCACCACTGACACTAGACTAGGCCACACTGACACTGCAGTGTACTGTACTGTTCTTACCTTGACATAATGCATGGTGTCATGTGCAGGTGCATCATCCTCAAATACATCCTTCTCCTCTCGATGTCTATGAGAGACTTCATGAGCTAGTGAACGTGCCTTGTTCACTGCAGATTCCATTTTTCTTCCTAAGAATTTCTTCAACTGTGAGCTGCAAGAAAATTATATAATATAAAATATAAGAACTATCAAACATTTGTCTATATATTTTGTTAACTCAAAGCAACTAAATATCACCATCACTACTCTGTTTGCCACTTTCATGGGGTGGGGGAAGTATCACTCAAGAAGAAATAGTATAGCTAACAGAAATAGGGAAAATAAGAAAGTCCAAACATATCCACCCTTTCAACATATGTTCCACACTATATACTACAGCAACATGTAGAGACAGCCTCATCACATTTCATTCAACCAGGTATAAGACGTTTCATGTGAGTTGTCATTTAAAAACTGTCAAATATTCGCTCTTCATGTAGCATCACTCCCTGCTTCATCATGCACTAATCCATGTTTCTATAGCTTCTTATTGCCCTTCTCTCATCTTCAAATGCTTTTGAATACATTCTCTTATTTACTTTATCATCATCATCCTTTCATTCAATATGACCAAATCATCTTGATAGTCTCATCAAGACTATCAAGATTCACTGACATTTGTACTCAGTATATTTCCAAAATATTATCATTACTCTTTCCATTCTCCTAAGAATACAAATGAATATTGGTTTGTACATTTCAATAGCTCTCTTCATTATTTAATGTTCAAGCAACATCAGCAACCATCTCAGTACATGCTCAACTCTCTTCCAAGACCATCTATATTCACTTTATTATATGCTTTCTCAAAGTCCATAAATACCATGTACTCATTATAATCTTTCCCTCGTGCTTTCTCTGCTATCTGGCTCAATTATTAGATTCAGAAACTTTATAGAAACTGTTACAATTCTTGTGAATCTTGTGACATGCTAAATACTGTAGCTTACAATTAGAATGGCAAGACTTGTACTGTATTAGTAAAACATTATGCATAACATTTTAATAGATTTACATAGACTACATATGCACATCACATTACAGATATTTTGATAAAGACATTGCAATCATAACTTTACATTATGATTGTTATCAACATGAATTTATAGTAATATACATTGTCTATGAATTACAAGAAAAATATAACAGTAGAATTGTAAAAAGTATAGAGGAAAACATAGGGCTTTGAGTGAAATGAAAAGTTCATTTCTCAGCTGGCTACTTGATTGCTCGCTAATGTAATTGAGTTGGTCTGACCATGGACAGGACTAGACTCTTCCAGGCAACTGCTGACATTTCCCCCTCACTATGGGGGTAGAACCATACAAACATCCTGTCACATGACAGATGGGGAAGGAAGACACTAAAGCTTTCTGAATCTAGCCCAAAATGACTCCAAGAAACATTCCATTTAAAATCAAAACCCACCCCGTCCAAACGATACTGAACCACACAAGGATAACCAAGCATCACTGCTAATTACCAATAGTACAACCAGGCCACAACTCCATTTTGCCTCTAGATGGCAGAACCCTATATGCCAAAAAAGTAGCATGGAGTATATTAGAAACCTCACATTTGTTGACACATGCTTCTGTAGAGACCTATTAAGTCAATTTGTTGGTATATAATTAAAACTATTGGGAGGAAATGTTAAAATTTGCTTGGCAGCATCTAGTCCTGTCCATAGGTGGACCTGAGCATTTGCTTATGGGGCAACCAAGGGGTCTGGCCAAAAAAAAGCTTAAATCACTTTTTATTTCAACTTAATATGTATACAGTACTTTAAACTGACACACACACAATGCTAAGAAAACAAAGATGCCAAAAAATCATTAGAAAGCTTTCTTTTGCAAACAGATTGAAACAGGTTAAGTGAGAAGGTGGTGGAGGCCAAAACCGTCAGTAGTTTCAAAGCGTTATATGACAAAAAGAGTACTGGGAAGACAGGACACCACGAGTGTAGCTCTCATCCTGTAACTACACTTAGATAATTACACATGTAGAAAAGAATTACAAAAGAATTTTTTATGGAAATACTGTACACAAAATCATCAGTTCTACATCAGCAGATTCAGGAGCTTGTCTGGATAAAATTCACTTTGAACATAGCTCATGTAACACAGATCTCCCTTCAACAGAATTTAGATTGCTTGTTAACATGGCATCTCTTTTTTAACAGTGATTTTCCTGCGCACTCTTAATTATTATTATTCTGCCATACACTTTGTAAACTACACTTAGTAGACTAATACCTCTACAGCTCTTACTCTCACTACGCTCACCTTTGTTCATATATAAAGATAAGAGGCAGCTCTCAATTTGTATGGGGATTATGTTCCTGTAAGAAAAGTGTAAATAGAAAACCATGCAAATCAAACTTTAGGTACAGTATTTATAAAGGCAGGATTAAGTGTTAAGAACCCTCCCAAAAAAAAATCCCTTTTTTCTACTCTTTTATTAATAAAATGTCTATTTAAATATTAATATTTGATGTTCCCTATACTTTCCAGCCACGTATACAAAACATAAAAATGCCCAGAATGCTTGGGATGCTCAATGATGCAATACTAAAATCTGAAATGTTTGTAAAACATAAGAATGTAGTATGTATGTGCAAGAAGACACACCACCTAGAATGTGGTGCACCTTTAGACTAGCAGTTTATCTATGCTAATTCATCTTGGTCCACATTCAACAAGCACACCTAGAAGAGTGCCTACTACGTAACACAATATCTGTGTTCCTCAATACCATGCAAATTCAGGGCTTCATCTGCATATTAGCAATTAAGTATGCCCTCAGGCAACTGATTCACCCCTTATTCCATTCCCTTCTTTACATATTGAAGTATTTCTGAAAATTTCCTTTTCATTTGTTATCATTCTTTTGTACTACATCTTCTCCTATACTACATCATTTATTTAAAAACTACTTTTCTAAAACTGCTGTAACCTAAATGGCTTCATATCATATTTTGTGTGCTGTTCAATTCAATTTACACTTCCTCATACATTCCTTCATCATGTTCTTGGCCTTTCTCTCCTACTACCTTTAAATTCACTTGAACACACACACCACTAGTTTATCAAACCATCTCAGTACCTTCTCCTTAATCTTATAATTTACTGACCAACTTTCCACAACACACTTCAAATTCATGCCACACCAGAATCTTGCATTCATACATAAAAAGGACAAAAATGACTTATAAGGACAGTTACTACCACTTCTTCAAACAATCAACTTACAAATGTCTTGACAAATCTCATTTATAAATTAAATTAGGAAAGTTAAATGAACAGTTCTAATTAAGATAAAAATACAGTAATGTACAGTATATCCTTTTGCAGGACTTATTTATGTCTTATACGAGAAGGATAAACAAACACTAATATAATGGGAAAAATTACATACGTTTTCTTCTTAACTGCCGAGCTATCTGTTTCAGGTAACTTCTTGATGTTTACATCCACAACACTCTCTTCATCTGATTCTTGCCCATCAACATTGGAGTTACTGTTGACATCACAAAAGTTAAAGCAGTGATAAAATACAAAGCTAGATTTCTATCATTAAACTACAATACCAGCAGATAATCATCATCAGAAAACACTTATAGTACGTTTAGCTTTGCTGCCCACACCAAAGTATGTTTGTAATTTCTATAACAACACTAACAAATATAACAAATGTGATGAACTAAATAAACAGGATAACAAAGTGGGTTTAATTAAAAATACATATACTGTATATATATATATATATATATTATATATATATCTACAAATGATCAGTTCTAATAGTCTGGGATGGATATTTTTTAATTTATAATGAAAACTTATAATGGTATACTACAGTATCCTACATGTCAAACAAAAGCAGTGGCCAGCACCACCATTAAGAAAAGTCAATTTCATGGGAAAGAGGATTTTGTTTAAGAATATGAAGCATACTTTACATTGTAAATATGGCTGTGATTAACTACTGAATATTGCAGTAATATTACTAGCTAGAACATCAGAATATTGATTTTACTGAATTTCAATAGATCCATTGGTAGCAATATGCATATAGGTACACAAATGGAAACAACACAAAAACTACTTCAAACACTGTACTTTACTGTATTTGTTTCATCTTCACAATCTACACTGTGACAAATATGAGCACACAGCTCATATTTGTGTGCAGCTTACAAAAATCTTTAAAAGTGATAGATTTCCATGCAAAAATCTTGGAAAAATCAGGCAAGTATTTTTCCTTGGGTGTAGTGTGCACACTTTCCACAATGTGTGGAAGGTAGTTTTGATAGACCTTAGGAGCCTTTGTCACCACTCAAACAACAAAACCACTTTTGACCTTGCTTATTTCTTGTTCTGCTACATTGAATTTGAAATCACTATCTAAACACTGATGACTAATCTCTTAGTCTCATAAAATTATAAAGTATTATGGTGTGTCAATGAGTGAATGTGGGTAATGGTCACTACTGTATGTCAAGGTTTGGTGACATTAGTGGGAGGCAGGCGAGAAAGTGGGAGTTAGAGATCACATGAACCTGAAGAGATTTCTTCCATGGATGACAAACTATCATCAGAACCATCTATTAAGCGTACGTGTTACCAAACCCCAGCTGATGAATCCAATTCATACATGAAGCAAAAGTGATATGAAGTTTCCCAGACAGTCCCCATAATGTGTGGAGCAGTGCAGATGTCCAAAATCAACAGCCAGCCCCACACTACAATGATACACATTGGTAAACATTGTCTTTCAAATACTCATGTTTATTTTTCATTGTTTAATGTCTTCCAAATCCTCATGTTAATTTTTCTTTGTTTAATGTCACCTTATTTTCCACCACTGCCTTGGATGCAAGCAGCAAGCAGAGGATATAGGATTGGTGCTAGTGCTGTTTCTAACAAAAACAAAACTAAAGCGGGCAGATCATGTAATTTATCAATAAATGTTTTGTTTATAAACTATATGACCAGTCTCCTTTACTCTTTTTTTTTTTTCTTAGAAATGGCCCTTTTACCAATGCCATACTCCTCTACCAGCCACTTGACTCTAAGACAATTACGTTTCTTCAATAACCTGGTCTTCTTATCCATGGACTGGTAGCTTCTTATATTCTTGCTTCATATACACTATATATTTTCCAGACAACATGGTTTCAACTCGCAAATAATGATATCCAAGAAGTTACTCAAACATTTTCATTGTTATTCAAGAATTTTCACTGGGTTAATGCTAGAGCCAGTGAAAATGCTTGAGTAACAAAAAGGTCATACCAGACTCGCACATAAGAGAGAAACACGATTGGTCCGTGTGCCCTCATAGTAGGTCTGGATGCCTAGAGAAAAAATCACGAACTCGTTTGTACAATTTATAGTCCTGTACAGTACTCATACATAGTAAAACTTTTATTATATATACTGTATATGCTTTATTGAATAATATTTACAATAAAATATTAAATAAAATAGATAAAGATAGGAAGATTAATAAAAATAAAACATAATTTGATGGAAATTACAGTACTAAATATATTGAACCAACAATCCAGATTTTGCTTTCACCACTTTAGAATCTTTTTCTTTTTTTTAATGTTAAATAATCCCACTTTACTCACTTTAAATTCTTTTGCAAACTGGAGTGAAGATTACTATTTAATAATTAACCTCTTAATTATTACTTAACTTATAACTTAAACCTCTGCCCGAAACGCTTTGCGTAATAGTGGCTTTAGGCATTGTATGTACTAGCTCTATCTATAAAGCCAACAAACTTTGTAAAATCTCTTTATGTATGTACCTTACCTAAATAAAATTATTATTATTATATTATTATTATTATTAATTTATTTCAAATACAATGAAGTTGTTTTACTAAAATACAATATCTTGTATCTCATTTTCAACCTATATACGATATTTATATAAAAGATTACTATATTTGATGCAGTAATCTAGATCTTGTCCAGAAATGCAGGCCATTTGTTGACCTATCCTTATTTAAGTCAACAATGAAAGCATACGTAAACTGAATGTTAATTATATGTAATTGAGTACATAAGAGAGACGAATACAGTACAGTGAAACCTCAGCGTTTGAATGCCCATTTTGAATTTTTCAGTTCTTGAGCTCAATTTCTTTGAAAAATTTGACTCGGTACTCGAGGTTTGCCTTGGTGCTCGAATTTGTTGATACACACATGGGCCAACCAAGCACATGGTGCGCTTCAGTTTACCAGTGTCTACTTCCTAGTGATAACCGCACTTGAATGCTTTGTGAAGAAATTCCTTGTTTTTGTGCTTTATTGGTTTCTGAACATAAAAGTTCTTATTATATATCATGCCATGGGTTCCAAGGAAGTCATTGGTAAAGCTCAACTTAAGAAAATAGTTGTGAAGATGACGACAGAGGAAAAACAAGAGATTCATAGTGAGACAATGTAATGTCTCACTACAGACAAGTGTTAGAATGTAGGGAAAAACAAGTGTCTATAGACAGATTCTTAGTAAGACAAGCAAGCAGTAAGCCACAACCAGGTCCTAGTGGTATGTCTACAAAATGTGAGAGAGAGAGAGTACCCAGAAATGTCATCACTGCTGTTATGATGGAAGGAGACTCCCCTTCCAAACACTAACACCTCTCTTCCTCACTGTCTTCCATATGCTAACAAGAGTCCTCAATAAAGGTAAGATATTCTTGTACATACTGGAGTACAAATATAAATAATGCATTTATAAAATGTATTTTCAAGTTAATATTTTTGGGGGTGTGGAACGGATTAATTTAGTTTACATTATTTCTCATGTGAAAATTCGTTTCGGTTTTCGAACTGTCTCGGGGAACGGATTAAATTTGAAAACGGAGGTACCACTTTATGGTACGCTAATGTATTATGAATGTTGGAACAAGTTCTAAAAGACTGAAGCTTGTTTCATAGTGCGTGAGAAGACAAGTTCTTCAGCATGGTGAAAGGTAAGTGCACATGAATAATTTGTAATTCAAATATGCAGTGATGACAAATGTTGAATGAAATAAAAGATTATGAAAAAGTTTCCTTGAAAAGTAAAATATGGATATCATTATTTTTATTTAAATTACAATACTGTATACATATATTACAAGGTCAGCCACACAGCTTTATGAAACCTATCAATAAATCAAATGCTGCAACAGTTGTATCATTTTGCATCAATTCAGTGATCACAAAACATAAAATGCCTCTTGAAGGTGGAAAACTAATAAACAAATGTTTTTTAAGAGGATGCTGATAGACTACAACAAACAGAAATTAAAGATGGGATATGTGATCTTAAATGTCACTAAATACAGTAAGTGAAGCAATGTTAGAAGAGTCTGCCCTTCACCATAAGACAGAACATTTTGCAAATAGCATGCAATGTTAATTTACCAAATATGAAAAATCTTCAGTAAGTGTTGAATATTCATTTATATTACTGGGTAACTTTTCACTTTTTTTATTTGTTATTAATTTAAATATGATTTTGGAAAGCATGGTTGAAAGATAGGGGCAAGATGTTTGTAAACTGCCAAAGGGCTGGTGAATAGTAATGTTCCCCAAATTATATGAAAGTATGCTATACAGTACTGTATATATGTTTCCAAAACAGTTAAGATACTAAACTAGGCAGTATAACTACACTACCATCCGAGTATCAAAGATGGTAAGCTGACTTAGTAAATTGGACTAATAAGTGATAAGTTTTGATAAACAGCACTGTAACATACATAAAGTAATGCATATTGGAAACAAAAAAAGAAAAACATGCTACTGTTTTACATGATGACCAGATATTATAGTTAATTAAATAAAATAAAAAAATGTGGGTAAAGAAAATAATGTAAGCTAATTATATTTAAAGCTTCTCTGGTAAAATATTTGAGTCAAGATCGGAGAAAGTCCTCCTCACTTTGTCCAGTTCACTTGTGCACCCTATTCTACATTATTGTGATCAGCTTTGGTTACCATATTTGAGGATCAATACACGTAGACAAATTGAGGGTGTTTACTATCAAGCAATGAAAATGATACCCAGGATGAAAGTAACATGAATGAAATCCATTTACAAAAACAAAATTTACTCAGCCTTTCAAGGCAAAGATCAAAAGATGACTTATGATAATTTGAAATAATTTTACTAGGCCTTAACAATCATGGCTGTCCATTACTTAATATTATCCAATCCAACATACTGTAATGCACAATTATGCTTTTAAAATTAAAAGCACTATTTGATTCTAATGAAATAAAACCCTGTTTTTCTTCACTTGAGTGGTAAACATACACAATAGCTTACCAGAGGCAATGGCAAGGACAGTAATACGGTAAATGCATGTTAAACAAATTAAACAAATACTTTTCTTCAAATCCGCAACTTACATTGTTTCCTCCACTACAAGACTTCCATTACACAAACAGTCTTGTATGGATTCAATGGTCTGTTGCTCTTTGAATTCCTGTGTATTCCTTTGTATTCTGGC